TATTTGAGCACTCAATAAAGCATGTCTGAAAGCATAGTAAAATCAGTTACATGCTTGCTGTGAAATTAAATGCCCCACATACTGGGGAAATATATCATATAAAATATATAAAATAAATAAATGTATATAATAGGCTAAATTGTTCTTCTGTCCTTTTTATTGTACTTAGCACAGTTTTATAAAAATGAAAAACACAATCCAGATGAAAAAGTTTTATATTGTCCTCCTGAAACTGGATCATGCAGCAGTTAATAGATTCACTGATGTCCAGGCTGCTTGAATACATAGAGGATATGAGATCCTAGGGGAAATGTGATGCTAACTGATAAGTAATGGCTGAAGGGCTTCAGACTGAAGTTGTAGATTATACTTGTGATATGAAGATAATATGAATCTCTGTCGTGTTGAAATGAATTGAAAATGTGTTTTATGTGAGGCTATTTTTTGCTGCATGATATTAGAATGACCCTTTATGCACAAACCATTTTAATGTAGTGCCTCAAAGAACAGCCAGACATTTGTCAGACAGGTCCAAGACGATGTTTCAGAAGACAAAGTCAAGCCCCAAGACTGAACCTTCAAGTCACTTCCCAAGGTTTCAGTAGTCATGAATCTGTAATTGTATTAGGTCTTATTAAAAATACATACAACTGTGAGGCTATCAATGCAATATAGATAAAGAACTAAAATTTGCATATAAAGCTATAAATCTCAAGCAGTCTCAACTGCATTCATTCTGGTTTATTGCTAGAACTACATAATATGACACAAATGTATTTGCTAGTATAAAACACAAAATATAAATCATCATAATTTATTAATATTGTTCCAAACCGGAATGATTTTGTTCCAAGAAACAAAGGCTATGTTGAAGATCCATGGCTGTGATTAATGTGCTATATTCCAAATCCTTTGAAAACAGGTTTCTGTGATGAACAGAGGGAGTTTCATAATTTTTCACTGATACTCTTCCTATCCAGTGAATTGTTAAAGGATTAGTTCACCTCAAAATGAAAATTTCCTGATAATTTACTCACCCAAATGTCATTCAAGATGTTCATGTCTTTCTTTCTTCAGTGGAAAAGAAATTAAGTTTTTTGAGGAAAACATTTCAGGATTTTTCTCTACACAATGGACGGATTTTTTGCGCTGCTGACGGCTTCTGATTGGCTAATGTGGCTTTACGGTTTGGGTTATATCGACGCCTGCTGGTGTTGAATGCTCTTGACAGTGCTTGATAGCATGTTTTTGCATTGCATTGAGGAAAAACTCTGGTTATAAAAATACCCGTGTCCATGTGGACAGACTGATCTCATGAAATTGCGTATGTATGACACGCCAATTCGTATTTCCATTTTTGGCGTGCTATCAACACGCATAATCGCTTTTGAGCGTGTTTATGACCGCCATTGACTTAACGTTATTTCTGTATATATAAATATATGACTTACCTCAACCCCGTCCCTAAACCTACCCGTCACTGGGGTTAATGGCATTTATGAGTCTTCCCCTGCCATCCTAGGAAAAAAAAAATCGCTCCCCAGATGTAGATCTACATTTTGCTTCGTTTCGCTCGGACATTTAACAGCGTGTACATGCACGCGGAATCACTCGGACATTAATGGCGTAGACATACACGCATACACACGAATACACGCATATAGCTCAAAATGCGTATAAATAACACTTGAAAGTGGCGTGTATGTTTACACAAAAGTCATTATGTCATGTTGGTGTGGACAAGGCCGTATAGAGCAAGCTTGCTCGCAAACCGCCACATGATGTTCCTTTCTCCAAAAAAAAAAAAATTATGAAAACAGTGTAATGCTGAATGAAGACTCCACAGATGTGGGAAAGAATATGAAGCTGATTTCCCCTATAATATGGAAGGCAATTTCTGGTTGTCCAGGAATGTTACAAAGCGATGTGGATCTACTTTTTTGTCTTTGTATCTTAATTTATTCATTGCTATCACAATGTTTTCAGCAGAACAGTCGTTTCACCATAGTTTTTTCAATGCTAGAGTATCCTCACTATCTGCGGAATACTTTTTTTTTTTTTTTTTTTGTCCAATTTGGTTTCTTTCTGTTCTGCTGCCAATTCCTTAATTTTCTCTTCAAGCATCAGCTTCCAGTTTTGATTTCCTCTTCTTTCAGCACCAACTTTGTCTCCAGCTCTTGGATTCTCACTTCAATAGATGACTCTCCCTGTGCATGTGTTTTCTTCTTATATAGTCTTAAGGGCTTTCATGGTGTCACTTAAGTTTTGTGCATTGAGTGAAGTGTCTAGTTTTTCTTTTAGTGCAATATTTTTAGTGTCGTTTAATTTTTTGGTTAAGATTTTTTACAGCCTCCCTTTTTAGGGGGGGTTGTTTGTAGCTTCTCCCTCTGCATGGCAAGCTGGTGCTGTCGCATGATTTGCAGACTTTTTTTGTATACTTCACAGGACTCGCACTTTGATGTCCTCCTTGTGTTTTTGTGAGAAATTACGGAAATCCTTGCAGGAGTAGGTGATGGCTCAGGCTCCATCTCACTTTGCATGACTGAGTTGCTTGGTTTCAGATTGCTCCTCAAATGAAGACATGAACTTAACAGTCTTTGCCCTGTTACTCATTATGAGCAAAGATAGACGAAGACCACATGTCCATTCAAAAGGTCATTCAATGCACCGGGCAGGGAAGAAAAATTGTCCATAACATGTTGCTTGGCTTTTCCTGGTCTGGTGTTGAGATTTGCATTTTGGCCTTTTCTCTTCTGAGGCATCTTAACATCTAAAAGTAAATAAAAATTCATTAACATTTTGAATTAAATACAGGAAATGGATAAGCACAGAAGCACAAGCCAATTAGTTTAAATAAGATGCAAATAAATGGCCCAGAATCTACAGAAAAAGACCACACTTTTAATCATTCAAAAGATACATAATTATGTCTTGTATTTTGGGCATTTTAGACGGAACATTTTCAGATGGTCCTTTAGCTGTTCTAAAAAAAAATAATAATTGTGCTTTTGGAGTATTTTTTAAGTGATAATTTCTTGGCTTATGCGTGTGATGTCATCACAAAATTAAGTGGCTATTCCTGCAATGTTCTTGTGTTATTCTTTGATTTGTCCCTCAATTAGATTTTTTAACGTATGTTTGATTTTAATTTGTCCATTAATTTGTGGTTACTTTTCTATTCAGATTTGAATAGAAATAGAATCTGCAAGTCTGCATAAGCTATGCATATTTAATATTCTAATTTATTATTTTAGCACATTGTAATTTTTTTATTTACACTTACCCAGATTTTTTAAACATTATGGCCCATTGACTTTGTTTTTTTTTTTAGCTGAGTCACAAATCAAATCATTTGTTATTAAATTAGGGCCCACTAAGACAACATTTAGAGAGAATATTAAGTTCTTTCTAAATGATGTTTTATTAACAATGTTCGGGAGGAGCAGGTGCAGATAATTAACCCAATCACCACAAGTGGACATCAATCAGTAATCAACTCAGGACAAGATAAATAACTGTAGAACCCTCTTTTGTTCCTTGACAGTTTTATCGGCATCCCATCTCCACCACATCTTCTCACTTTTAGTTCACATCTCTAGTTCCATCTACTCTTACCAACAGGGGGAGTACTCTGGGTTCGGGCTGAAATTCCGAGCTCGGAGCCATCCACCCGGACAGCATGCCAAGTACGCCTAATCTTTACCATAATAATCATATGTAGATGTGAATTCATGAATCAGACTTTAAACGAGAACCTGTAAACGCTGATGGCGTTCACATGCGCATTAAGAATTTATTCTATAGTTAGAGTAGGTGTAGAGTGTTGGAGAGTAGAGAGTTGAACACTCACACATGCTTTGATCTTCTAAGAAGAATACAGTTAAATATAAATGGTCACTTGAGTATGGAAGCTCTTTTCCTCCACAGAAAAAAAAAACTTAAAAAAAACCAAAAACAATTGTGACTTTTTTTCTCAATTGCGAGTTTACATCTCGAATACTGACTTTATTTCTCAGAATTGTGCAGATATAAACTCGCAATGGGCTCTATGCACGGCGTTATTTCCGGTGAAGGATTAAGGATGCTCGATAACTTCCGCAGATCATAGAGTCCAATGCAATACCGAGAATTTATATTGAATTTTATACTCCATGGTTATACTAATGAAACGTTAATCACAAAAACAGATAAAACAGACACCCATCGTTGTGTTTATGCTTCTTTTTAACATTATATTAAATAAACATAACTATATATAAAATTACATCTAAACGTATGTACGTTTCGTTTCAAAGACGGGAGGACAGTAAATATTGAAGACTCTGCCATAATCCCGTTTTCTCCGGTTTTCCTCCGCTTTAATCTACACAACCGGAAATGGACGAGCATCCTTGCGTCAAATGCGGAACTTTTGCGTGCATATAGCCCATTGTGAGTTATAAAGTTAATTTGTAAGGGAAAAAAGGACTTTTAACTGTTAATAGTGTAATATCTCACAATTCTGACTTTATAACACACAATTGCGACTTTATATCATGCAGTTCTGACTTTTTATCTCTCTATTGCGTATTATAAAGTCAGAATTCTGACCTTTTTTCTCGCAATTCTGAATTTATAACACATATGCCTAATTGCGACATCGGCACAGAAAGTACCATTGGACGACATTATCCATACTGTCATGCAAATCTTAAAGTCATGCTAGAAAAATGTTTTGGCCAAAATGTTTTTATTAAGAAATTAATAAATATTGGCACATTTGTGTACTGTAGCTTGCAAAGAGAGAAAAGGACCAGGTGTGTAAAATACAGGAAAAGACGTGACATGCTGTAGAATATAAGTGTGAGGAAATGGAAGTGTGGAAATGGAAGACACCAGTGAGCTCTTTTGGCTTTTCTTCCTACACAAAAGCAACCCTCCTACACACAGGACACCATTTTACATTTTAACAAGCATATGAAGAGAAACATTAGAGCGACTCTTGTTTTCAGGGACTCAAGAAAGCAGGCAGCGAACAAAATATAGAGGCAGAGAGAGAGAGAGAGAGACAGAGTGAGAGAGGGTAAGAGAGTGAGAGAGAGAGCTGGCACAGGCTGAGCCAGGCACTGACTGTGTGGACACGGAGGAGTGCGGAGAGAACAGAAACGACAGAGCAGGAGGAGTGTATAGATGGAGTGACCCAGGAGGAGGAGAGGAATGCTGAGCGAACAGACCGACCGAGCGCGAAAGGGAAGCCGAGAGTGCCGTGGCAGCAACAGCAGAACAATTAAAACAGTGCAAAGGAAAACAAAGTCACCCATGCTGAGCAGCTTCTGTTGCTCGCTCGCGCTCTCTCTGTTTCGAGCGACCAAAGAGGCAGAAGTGAATCCGTCCAGACAGCGATAAAGGACAAGAGGAGACACGCGAGCGGCAGGGGGAGGAGCAAGCATGCTTTGATTGACAGAGTAAAGAGGAGGGACACGGATGCAAATTGAAGAATTTAATTTTCCGGGAATGGATATTTTTAGCAAAGGAAATTCAAAGATCAAGGATGTCGTATCAGTCTAAAAGAAGGATGGAGAAGGCAAGGAGAGAGAGAGAGTGAGATGCTGAATTCCGACCATGTCAGAACAGATTCCACATCAGCGACATTCAGCCCTCCTACAGGCAAGAAGTCAGTGTGTGTGTGTGCGTATGTGTGTGTGAACTAGCACGAAGTACGACCTCTGTAACACCAGGCGTTTGGCCATGTGCCCCCATTGTTGAGGACAGAGGCCGAGAAATGGGAAGGCAAAAAGTCAGTACAGTATCACTGTCAAAGCCATAGAAGAAGAGGTAAAAAGACAAGAAGAGTGTGATCATGGGGCTGTGGGGTCAGTTGTAGATAGTGTTCAGGAAACCCTCTCTCTAGGGATTGTGGAAAATATCCATTTTATAAATAGGACAGCCTGCCTGGAGACTCTCTCAGATCCTTTTTTCTTGTGACTTGCCTTCCACAATCCATCTCTTTTTCATTATTGTTTCTTACAATCTGTCTTTTATCTATTGATTTTTTTTGTCTCATTAAGATCCGGTTCACTTGCCTGAACTTAAGGAGATTCTGCAAGAATCTCAGATGCAGATAGCAGGCTGTCTGCTAACCCAGACTAAGTCTCGGCACCGTGGCCAGATGGACTGAGGAGGGGAACAAAATAGATCTAGAAAGAGCACGGAACAAGGAAAATAGCCTGGGGATGTTGCCTGAAGGTTTATAGTGAGCTGTCAGCGAGTATGAAGACACATGATGAATTTTGTGTACCTTAGGGAGCAATGCATGTGTTTGTGCGCGAATGTGTTTATTCAATCCAGTAATGAAGTTTGCATACATTTGCATACATGACAGGATATTAAAGTGGAAATCAAAGTAGAGTTGGGATTGTACACTTCAGTTGAACCTCGAGTAGTTTTGCAGGCGCTACAATAGTGTGTGACTTGCTGGACTCTATAAGTGAAATTAGTATTCAAGAAAACAGTGTTGTGGCTCTCTCTGTGCTCCTGGAGCCCCATGAGGGCCCCGGCCGCGGAGGCCTGGCTGGGAGATGAAGGCGCCCCCCCTGCTGCTATAGCAGCCCTGTGGGCCCTCATGGCTCTAGAAGGTCCTTGTCTGCGCCCTGCCTCGCCCATCCCGGGCCAAGGCGGGGCCCGTCGTCGCCGCACACGAGCCGGAGCACCACGAGACAATCTGTCCCACCTCACCGTGGCACTCCTAGCGCGGACTCGCCTCCACGGATTGCGGCACATCTGTGCCTCGTCAAACTCACTCAGCCGCCGGGCCTTTTGGATGCTGGCATTCTGTACATGTCTGGGTCTTCTGGTTTCCTGGTCCTCGAATCGGCTGCTACACTGGCTGGCCTTTCCCACTCACACAAGAATCCACACAGAGTGGGCGAGAGAACTCGCTTTTCCCACAGTCACTATCTGCAACAATAACCCCATTCGTTTGAACCACCTCTCTAAGAGCGATCTGTACTTTGCGGGTCACTGGCTCGGACTGTTGCTGGCCAACCGCACGGCTAAACCCTTGGTGCTGGACTTGCTTCAAGATGACAGGCGGGCATGGTTTAGCAAGCTGTCAGATTTCCGTCTTTTCCTGCCTCCACGGCGCTTCGAGGGCACCAGCATGGAGTTCATGGACCGCCTGGGCCACCAGCTGGAGGATATGCTACTGGCCTGCAAGTACCGCGGAGAGCCCTGTGGAGCCCACAACTTCTCCACAGTGAGTCTGAACAAATGACCTTCACCTCTATCTCTCTCTCTCTCCCTCTGTCTCTTTCTCTGTTACCTTTTCTCTCTAGTGTTTGTCAGATTTGCTGTGACTTATTCTTTCAGGCAGTGCATGCACAGACTCTGCTCTGACCTCTCGTTAGCTTTCGTCCTGGGTTGCCCTCTCCGTCATGCTTCAGATATTTCACAGCGCATTTTGTACACCCGTAGCAGAACTTTCTGACCCCAATTCATAAAGACAGTTGTTGTTTTTCTCAGGGAGTCCCGTGTTGAGCGCCAGCTTTTTACAAACACATCAGGTGCACTGATCTTCCCAGGCTGATTTTCATAATGCCATTATGATTGAGCATAATGTGCTATTTGCATTTGCGTTGCTCATAAAGACCTCCAACTCCAAGACGTTCAACCTATTTCCACAGAGATCTGGTAGTGTAGCAACTGTCTAGCCTATTAGCAAACACAGATTTTTTCATTCCAATAAATAATTAGCCAGGCGTGACATGATTAGATTATGTCGATTTTTCTGCCCACGCCTAAGATAAAATGTCAATCAGTGTCAACAGTTTGCGGATGAATTCTCTCTTTTTGCTCACCTTCTTGCAACAGTACAGCGCACAACACTTGTTTTTACATGAATATTTATCAGTGCTTTTCAGTAAAATCTCTTTATATTCATAGAAATGTGTGTTGCTTTATTTTTCTATACATTGCCACCAGTCTCAGACTCCTATTGTTAGTGCATGTCATCCTTCTCCTTGTGCTCATCCTGTTTCTCCACAGTCACTACTGCTGTAGCTGTATTGCATACACTCTCACTCCTTTCTGAGCAAACACATTATTCTGAGAAATAAAACTGTTATATTATGAGCACTATTATAGACCTTTAAAAAGCCTTTAAAATCAATGAATACTATTCAAAGTAATGCAAGTTTAGAGATTTTATAATGGCAGAAAAGTATGATGATGTATTTAAATGCATTGAAATTTTTGAATGGGTTTTTTTTTCTAATCAATATTTCCAAATGATAAAAAACACTTTATATTTGCAGTATTTTATTATTTATTGTTTGTATTAATATTATTATTACTGTTTATTTTAATAAAATGGTAGGTTTTTGTTGTAACAATTAACCCCATTTAGTATAGGGTCAATAATAAAATGTTTAATCACTTTATAAGGTTTAAAAGAAAATACTGTATGTAGCACAACGTTATGAATATGTCTCAGAAGTTTAATTTTATAAAAGATTAAATTACAAGGTCACTTCTTACCACTGTGCCAGAGCTTTTACAGAATTGTATTTACTGTAAATTACAGAATATATACAGTAGTACACTGTTCATTTTCAAGTTTATGGGCCCTATTTTGCACCCAGCGCAATTGACTTTGTACACCGACGCATGTATCATTCATATTTTGCACCTGTGCAAAGCAGACTTTTCCCTCCACAGACGCACGCTGGCTAACTAGGGAATGAACTTGTGCTGCCTGTGCGGTTCAGCGCAAAAAAGGTGGCGTATTCTGGCACAAACAATCCCTGCTGCTATTTTTCAGTTCCAGAAAACAATTGTGCCACTGACCAGAAAAAACCTAGTCTAAAGTCAATGGCGCGTTGCGCATACATTCAGATGCTATTTTAAGCGCACATGTTTGGCCATAATACAGAGTGTGAACAACGCACATACACTGTAGATGATTCTGTCATCTACACAGATGCCTTTTCCTTTTTGCAAATGATACATTATTACAAGGAAAGATATTAAAACACAAGGGAAATCATTGTTGCTCCATGATGATGGAAAATATAGGTATAAAGCTTACACATTTACCCAAATTATAATATGCATGTTTAACCGAAGCTAATTCAACTACGTTTGTCCAATCCCCAATGTCACTTCTCTTGAACATCAGTCTCCTTGGCTGTAAACAATTCTGAAGCGTACTTGGTAAATGCACTATTATAATAGAGGGTTTTCACGACGCGTCATCAATCCGGAAGTCGGCCATTTTGGAGGCACAGGACATAAAGAATGCCATTGAACTGAACGGACTCTCAATTTTGGCTGATTATTTCTGCTGAAAAATTGTCAAGTTTTGGTCTGTACTTGGTCTGTACTTTGGTCTGTTGTTATGTAACGTTACAGATTTTTTTTCTTGTCTTTTCTTGTCTGTGCCGGTTTCAATATATGTTTCAGAAATAATATTTTTTCAGATCGTCAGGCACTTTGCAACTAAACAGCATTGTTTCGGCAGCGACTTTCAGCATGTCTCCTCTAACAACCACTGACGTTTACATTTTATGTGGCGTGAGATTTGCATATAACCCGAAATCCGATCGTTCAGACTGAGGTATATTTTCTGGAAAGTTATTTGAATAGGATTTCAAACCACATATGGATGTTGCTTAAAACGGATTTCATGTGCTTTTTTGGGCTGACAATCTGAACGTAGCCTACTGTATGTCAGAATAAGAAATAGAAGGAAGAATTGCAGTACGAGCTAGAGAAGCTAGCTCGTTCAGACCTTTACCACTTATAAACTTATTTTTGTCAAAATATTGCGCTCTCTCCTGCTTCAATAAGTCCTTCTCTATATAATTTCGCACCTACCACAGGTTTTTTTATGTGTTTTTGTAGTGTAACAAGCTGTTGTTTACACCCGAGTGCCTCCATAATGGCCGCTCATGCGGGTTACCGCCCAGAATGTGACATCGGTGAAAACCCTCTATAGTATTGCGCCATGGAACAAGTGCACCTTGTTCATCATGCTCTTAAAGGGAATGTGATATGGCGCTCTTATTGGTTTGTTTCCCGTTATGCCCAAACCACACCTATGAATAATGAAGGTACTTTAGACCAAGCCTTTTTAGATTTGCGTCGAGCACAAGAGTCATTTATCCCGCCAGTTAAATAGCAACAGCGCCGAGATGCGCCCCCAAAGTTATTTGCGCTTTGCGCTTGACACTTGCATTTTAGATCGTTAAAATAGTGCCCTATGTGTTATTAATTGGCCACTGTTAAATGTTTTGTAAAGAGTTGTGGGATGTTGCAGTCAGTATCGGAGTGAAAGGAGTAGGATGCACTGTTATGTTGACATTTGTAAATTAAGTAATGTTGTGGGACTGGAAGAAGGATTTTTTTGGGTTAATATCCTTCCTCTCTCACCTTCTTTCAGTCTCATTGTGTTTTTTACCACTCTGTTTTTTCTCCAATTCTCTTGATGTGGGGAGAGGTGGAGCGCGGGCAGATGTTCTCTCTCAGGCTACGTTTCAGCAGAGCTTCTTGCTGCATTTGTGTATCTGTGCGAGACTACTTTTGCAACTCTCTCACAATATTTCTTAATTAGGGCTGAATGTCACTGTGGTGTTTTTCGCTGTGTTTAGGAACAGCACTGCAGTTTGTGGAGAATTTTAACAACCCATTTTACAATAACAATAACATATGTGCCTTGTGTGCATATTTTTCAGCCCTCAAACATGCCTTATGTCTTCAAATGTCAAGTATAGCAAAAGTTTGAGACGTGATGATCTATGTGTCCGTGTACACGAGTGGGGTTTTTTTTAATCGTACTTCCTACCCAACAGCGTTCATATTTACTTAGCTCTTATACCTGTAGTAGTCACTCAGGGTTAAATACACCCCTTTTAAGCAACACATTCTCATCCCAAGACGTCATCTAACTGACTCTTTTGACCATACGTCAACATCTGACGTTTTAGGGTACCCTTTAACGTCAGTTAGATGACGATCCTAGGGCGTCATCTAACTGACGCTTTACCTTTAGTGTCAGTTAGATGACGCGGGTGGGTTTAGGTCTGGGGTAGGGTTAGGATTAGATAGTGTCATCTAACTGACGTTAAAGGGTAAAACGTCGGATGTTGACGGGATGAGATCATGAGAACGGGCTGTTTTAAGAGTTTAGAAAGTGGAAATCCTTTGTGTGATGGCTAATTTTATTCTTCCTCTCAGTTTTTCTCTCCATTACATTAGCTTAACATTATCTACTCATTACAAAGTGTATTAGAGACCCAGTAAGACAAACGGAGAAGCCCCAGCAGGGAAAACTCTAATATCCAGCTTTGGGATGTTTCGTATGGATGCAGTTTGTCGGTTGGATGTTATAGATCTAAGCAAATTCTGGCGTCCTCATAAATATTACATTACAAGCTTGAAATAATTATATGAACATCAGAGTTTATTTGCAACACATTTTACTGTATTAGTACTACTAAACATGCAGTATTATAATTAAACTTAATGAAGTTCTGCACATTTGCAAACTCTTGAGCTTGGCTATCTGTATATTCATAATTGTAGTTATGGAGACATAGATTTCCATCACTGCATCGCCATGGTTACACTGTTAGTCTGCCATGTCCATCACTTGATGGAAATGGATGGGTTTCATTAGCTCCAACACTGCGTTGATTAGTTTGGTCTGGCACTGTAATGATCCTTGAGGTTGAAGCTTTCCGTCAGGGGTTCTCCCGTCTGGAACGAGAGCGAGAAGCCGTGCCTCCCTTCTGTGGTCTTTCTAGTTTTCTCGAATATCTGTAGATTTCTCAGTTATGTAGCCAATATATTTTGTTGTGTGACGGGTGATTAACTGAAACATTTCTTGATATGTGCAGTATACTGTGTGAGATTTTGTGGTTTGGGGGATCTGCTGTGAAAGTGGAGACCGAGACTATGAGATGCGGTCAACCAAGCCCAACATAAGGACATTTCTAAACAAGCAAAGAATGTGCCACGTTCAAATTGACTGTCAAAATGTACTGTATGTTGTGTGTATTATTCTAATTTTTGTATCAGAATTAAGTCAGACCGACTCACCATATATGAAGTTCATAATGATCTGAAACTATTGAGATCTCCTGTCTATGAAATTATTAATTTGAAAGTATATCTAAAACATTTAACCTTTCAATATTTCTGTCAAATGGAGCACTTTAACCTTGTAAACATGCACATGAATATTATGATATGAATGGA